TATAAAAGCATGCTGCATTTATTGTATGTTAAGGGTAATCTAAAATTCTTCCATCTTTGTTGTCTGGTTTCAACCCCTATGAGAAATGTCYATGCAGATTAGATTTCACGAACTTCTGGAAAATGAAGCTGCTTGACATAAGTATTACAAACAAATCTTGATTGGTTTCTTGCTGCTGTTAAATCCCAGAATGAACATTTTGTTTAAAGAGTCCCAGATGGCCAATAAGCACAGATTTTGTTTATTTATGAGGAAACCTGAAGATCCTGCACATTGGATTGCTTACAGTTGTGTTCTAACTTCCACTGTTTTCTAAATGTTGGCCAACAATCATGCTCAGTAGTTTCTCTTTGATCGGCGAGCATTAACTCTTGCACAGGAACACTTTATTGACCTACACTCATGTCTGACTCAGTGCCTCCAAACATCAAGGGTGAAGAAGTGAATGCTACTGCGACGCTTGGTCTTCCAGTGGAGCTGCACTGCCAGAGCGACGCAGTCCCTCCACCTGCCCTGTCCTGGCGCAAAGATGGTCGTCCTCTCTTTAGGAAACCTGGTCTGACCATCTCTGCAGATGGTAGTTTACTCAAGGTAGAGTTTGTACACTTTTATATATACATGTAAGAAAAAATCTGGAGTTATTTCTTTAATAAATTTAACAAAAACAGTTTTTTTGATCTTGATTTCTTTTACATGGACTTTTGATTAAAGTGTTTGTATATTATTACCCAAATTCACATACCTGTGTCTGAATTGGTAGGTTGACAGTGTTCAGGTGCAGGACTCAGGAAGGTATACTTGTGAAGCCACCAATGTCGCAGGAAAAACAGAGAAGAACTTTAACCTCATTGTTTGGGGTGAGTTTGTATTTTTTTAATGTGTTTGTGAGATATGCTAATAAGAAAATATTCATGAGTTTTTATAAGTGCTAATGTATAAAAATAAAAAAGAATAACAAAAAATACACAAACAGTTCGACATCAATCTCTCTCTTTGTACACATCTGTAAAAATTAAAGTTCTGGTTCCATTTAATGTTGTTTGAGCGCCTCCTTTAGGTGTCATGTTGTTATTGCAGTTCCTCCCAGTATCCGTGGCTCGGAGGAGGTTTCTCCTCTGACAGTGATTGAAGGAAGTCTCATCACTCTTATATGCGAGTCCAGCGGTATTCCACCTCCTAACCTTACATGGCTGAAGGACGGTAAGTAAAAAAAAAACAAGAAATTGCAGTTAGAGCCAGAATACCATGTGTGTTTAACACTCTAACCTGTTTTCCTCATGTTTTAGGTTATGACCTGAAGTCAGACCAGAGGCTCAGGGTTTTGTCAGGAGGCCGTCAGCTGCAGATTTCCAACGCAGAGAGAACAGATACTGGCTCCTACACCTGCACAGCCTCCAGTGAAAGTGGCACCACCTCCAAGGAATACAGCCTGCAGGTTTACGGTACATACATCATCGGAATCTTTTATAAATCTTACTGAAAGCATAATTGTGAACTGTGATTACATAGAGTAATATTACTGTGGCAAGATTAAATTTATTATATGTTCTGATGCATCTCAGTAATCCAGGTAAAAAATCAAAAAGAAAAAAATTGTATGTATTGTTTGACTCCCACCACCCACTGGAACACAAGTTAGGAGTGATCAGGACTCTGTACCACAGAGCAGACAGTGTCCCTACAAACCCAGGAGCCAGGCAGAAAGAGAAATCACACACACGACAGGCCCTGGAGCAGTGTGGTTATCCTGACTGGGCTTTCCTGAAAGCAGACAGGAAACACAGACAGGATTCCATGCAACCTTCAGGTGAAAAAGAAGACCCCAAACCCAGACCCAAACCAGTGGTTATTCCGTATGTTGCGGGTGTTTCGGAGAAACTGAGACGTTTATTTTCTAAACATGATGTCCCAGTGGCTTTCAAACCCCAAAACACATTACRGCAAAGGCTGGTTCACCCCAAAGATCCGGTGCCCCACCACAAACAGAGCAATGTTGTATATGCTGTTAAGTGCCAGGAGGACTGCGACCAGTTATACATCGGGGAAACAAAGCAGCCACTGTTCAAAAGAATGTCCCAACACAGACGAGCTACATCTAATGGCCAGAACTCTGCAGTTTTCACTCATTTACAGGCCAGCGGTCACTCTTTCAGAGATGAGGATGTTCTCATTCTTGATAGAGAGGAACATTCGTTTGAGAGAGGAGTAAAAGAAGCCATTTTTGTGAAGACCGTCCATCATTAAACAGAGGTGGAGGCCTCCGTTTTCAGTTGTCCCCCTCCTAAAGTGCTGCTATTGCCAGTATCACTCCACCCCCTGTTAACAATARGTGTTAATTAGGTGTCAACGATAGCCATGTGATGTGAGTATCAGTCACATGGAGGCAGGGCTTAAAAGCCTGAATTTTGCCTGAAACTCTCAGACTGAAGAAGTCTCTTGGAGGAGAGACGAAACGTTTCATTAGAGAAGAACCCGTCCAGAAGACCTATACAATTTTTTTCTTTTTAAATTTATATAATTTAGAGAGAAATATTTACAAAATACTGTGTTGTTTGCTGTTTGACTATCAAAACTTTTATTTCTCTCTCTGCAGTTCGCCCTTCTATAAGACAAGACAAACATGACGTCGGTGACGTTACAGTGACTAAAGGAGGCGATGTGACCTTACACTGCACTGCAGACGGCGTACCTCGACCTGCGATCACATGGCTGAAGGATGGACGGCCCATCACAGGCCAGCACGGAGCAAAGGTCCTCAATGAGGGAAGTTTGTTGCAGATTAAAGATGCTAAATTATCAGACACGGGGCGTTACACCTGCTTTGCTGTTAACGTGGCCGGACAGTCTGAGAGCAAACACGACATCAGTGTGCATGGTATGAAATTGACATGTTTCTTTGTCCATCATAATTAATCTTTCTTGGAAGTACAAACTTTGTCTTTTCTGCCAATTTTCTTGTCAYATTCAGTCCCACCCACGATAACCGGTCAGGTGCAGTTCCCAGAAAATGTAAGTGTTGTGGTGAAGAACCCAGTTGCTCTGAACTGCGAGGCTTCTGGTATTCCTCTTCCTGCCATCTCCTGGCTGAAGGACGGTCAGCCAGTTAAAACAACGAGCTCACTTCGCATCCTCTCAGGTAAGGTTTGGTTTTGCTGTCAAGGATTTTATCTTCTTCGATACGGTTATGTTTTACCCAAAGAGCTTTAAAGTRCCTGTGACATCAACTTTTTGTAATAAATATGAGTGCAGTTTTGGAAATGTAACATTAATAAAATATTGCGCAAAAAAATCATGCTGCTGAGGTGAGCAGTTGTTGAGATATTTGTGTGTGAAGTAACAGGAAGTGATGTCAAAGGGGAATGTCTGCATGTGAACAGAGCACTGCTGCAACGGCTGACGACAGAGACTGTAGAGAAGAATCTATGTTTCTTTAGATTATTTTGAGTCTATCAGGGAGATGAAGAAGAATCAGAGTTCAAATAGTGTTTCAATAAACAAAGACCAGAGATTTCCTTTTCTTAAGAGTTCCCCTTTGATGTCACTTCCTGTTTCACTTTGGCTGGGGCAAGTTCAAAAGAAAATATGCCAGTTTTGCAACAAAATGGGTAAAATCATGTAAAGTTACCGAAATATAAAGATTTTTTCTTCGGCTTTTTGTATTTGAAGAATATCACGGGCACTTTAAAGATACTTTATTTCCTCCGATATGTCTCATGATGTCTCATTCTTAAAACTGGAATTTTAAATGTTTTACCTCCTGTTAGCCTAGAAGTTCAAATTCTTTGTGTTGATTTATTACAGTTTTCATATTATCATGATACATTTTAACCAGTTTTAGGATATTGTGTACGTTTTTTAGGATATTGTGTATGTTTTCCTGCTGTGTCTTTTTGTGCTGGAAAAGAGCCGGCTGTGTAATTACCTGTTTAAACTGCAGGAGGCCGAAGTCTCCGCCTTCTGCATGCAGCAGTGGAGGATGCTGGAAGGTACACATGTATTGTCTCTAACAGTGCTGGAGAAGAGAGGAAAAATTTTGACCTTGATATTCTAGGTAAAGAAAAAATTAAGTTTGATAATGTCCACATTTAAGTATCTATAAACCGAGAGACTTGGCAACATTAAGCTGGTTATGTTTTTGTTCAACTTGAAGTGAGAGTATGAGTCAGTTCCTTTTCATTGGCAGTTCCACCAAAGATTGTGGAGGAGGGAACAGTGGTGGACACTAAAGTAAAGGAGAAGCACAACATCACTCTCACCTGTGAGGCTTCAGGTAAAAATGTACCCTCTTTAAACTTATTGAATTTTTTATATAAGTTACAGAGAAAACAGTAATTTTACTCTGATAACTTCTTTTTAATTTCCAGGGAACCCAGTCCCAAAGATTCAATGGCTGAAGGATGGACAGCTGCTGGTGTCTGACAGGAACCACCAGATTGTGTCTTACGGTCGTTTTCTCCAAATCTTTGAGGCCCAAGTTTCAGACACCGGGAGGTACAGCTGCATGGCCTCTAACAGTGCAGGAGACCGCAGCAGGCATTTCAACCTCAATGTTCTGGGTACAAAAACAGTCTCTTTTTTCATTTACCTGAGAATGTTTCAGGAATAAATCAAGATGCAGATGTGTTTCTGCATTTCATCGCTGTCATTATTTTTTTGCCAGTTTCTCCCACCATCGCTGGGTCAGGCCCTGATCTTTCTGCAGAGGAGGTTACAGTAACCCTGAGCAGCCCCACCTCTCTGGTGTGCGAAGTCCAGTCCTACCCACCTGCCCTGATCACCTGGCTCAAAGACGGCACTCCGTTTGAATCCACTCGCAGTGTCCGAGTCCTTCCAGGTTTGAAGAGCATAAAAAGACAATAACATTACATCCATCTATTACATTTACCTGCTTCTTCCTTTCTGGATCATGGGGGTCACTAGTGCCCATATTCAGCATTCACAGTGCAAGGGGCGGGGTACGCCCTGGACTATGGGGTGCCGTTTGTAAAGTTACACAGTCAAAAATTACCACCAATATTTTTGTTTTATTTAGCCTTTTATAAGAACAAAAGAACAGAATTATTTTTCAAAGTCAGTTTTTCACCATATGATTCATACATTTATAAATGTCATAGTTTATAAACTAAATATTTAACTTACAAATTAAATATTTAGTAACAAGCTAAATATTTAATTTGAGACTTATATATTTAATTTTGAGCTAAATATTTAGCTTGAAACTTAAATATTTAGCTAGCTACCTAAACATTTAGCTAGCTACCTAAATATTTAGCTAGCTACCTAAATATTTAGGTTGCAACTTAAATATTTAGCTAGCTACCTAAATATTTAGCTTGCAACTTAAATATTTAGCTAGCTACCTAAATATTTAGCTTGCAACTTAAATATTTAGGTAGCTAGCTAAATATTTAGGTAGCTAGCTAAATATTTAATTTGTAAGTTAAATATTTAGTTTATAAACTATGACATTTACAAATGTATGAATCATATGGTGAAAAACTGACTTTGAAAAATAAATCTTTTCTTTTTTTTCTAATAAAAGGCTAAATAAAACAAAAATATTGGTGGTAATTTTTGACTGTGTAACTTTTCAAACGGCAGCCCATACTGGACAGGTCACAAGTCCATCACAGGGCCACATAACAAATGAGACAAACCTCCATTCACTCTCACTCACACCTGGGGACAATTTAGAGTTACCAATTAGCCAAACGTTGATGGTTTTGGTCTGTGTGAGGAAACTGGAGTTCAATAACATGATAGTAGAATAATAATAAATTTTTATTGACCTTTGCCTTGGCAGGTGGGCGGACACTGCAGATTATCAATGCTAAGAAGGAGGATGCAGGGAGGTACACGTGTGTGGCTACTAATGAGGCCGGAGAGATGCTGAAGCACTATGAGGTTAAAGTTCATGGTGAGATTCCCGCACCTTTAAGCACTGAAGAACATCCCTGAAGCTGTGATGTTGTAAATATGACCAAAAGTGTTTTTGACTGAAGTTCCTCCACAGATCAATAAGAACGATATCCCTGGAGAGGGACTGGCCCCTAAAGAGGTGAAGATCAAGATTAACAGCACACTCACCCTGGAGTGTGTGGCTCAGGCCTTCCCTCCTCCTGCACTGCAGTGGTATAAAGACGGGCAGGTAGAATAGGTTGATTCTGTTTTTTTTTCTGTCAGGTATTTTGTCAGAACTTTTAACTGAAGCCTTTAAAAACAAATTTTCTACAGATCCTGAGGGGGGATGACCACGTGTCCATTACAGCCAATGGTCGCATTGTTCAGATCAAGCACGCTCAAGTGTCGGACACCGGCCGCTACACCTGTGTCGCCACTAATGTAGCTGGAGAGGACGAGAAGGACTTTGATGTAAATATACAAGGTGAACTGGGTGGACTTATGATGTTAAACGGTTACCTCTCTGCAGATCCTCAGGGATAAATCCAACAATATGTGCTTTAATGTTTTGGATTAGATAAACACAAAAACTCCAGGAAGCTTCGATTTGAGGTCAATATTTTAATTTTTTTCCCAATTTTTCTTTAGTTCCACCAAATTTCAACAGACCCGATGGAGTTGGTGATGCGTCAGTCTCAGGCTTTGGTGGAGACGCTCGGGATGTAATTCTGAACAATCCCATTTCTCTGTACTGTGAGACAAACGCTGTGCCCCCTCCCACTCTGACCTGGTACAAAGACGGACAGCTGCTCACCTCGAACAACAAAGTTTTAATCCTTCCAGGTGAAATGACAAACTGGTGTAAAAATTCACACAATAAAAGTAAAACGGGCAGAAAATCAGGTCAGTTTGTTCGTTTTCAGGTGGGCGAGTGCTGCAGATTTCCAGGGCGCAGCTTGAAGACTCTGGCAGGTACACTTGTGTGGCCATCAATGAGGCAGGGGAAGACTCCATCTTCTATGATGTCAGAGTGCTGAGTGAGTTTTATTGTACAAACCTTAGGCAATAATTAGCAACTGTTTTAAATTAAACCACTTTTTGTGATGACTTCATGTCTTTCTCTAGTTCCTCCGAGCATACGGGGAACAGGCAGTGATGTGCCTGATGAAGTCACCGTCCTGGTCAACAAAACTACCCAGCTGGACTGCTACGTGGACGGAAGCCCCGCCCCTAAAATCACCTGGTTTAAAGATGGACAGCTGATCAACTCTCATGGTCCACATAAAATATTGCTCAATGGACGAGCGTTTCAGGTAACACTTGGAAAAGGTAGAGACACAAAAAAAATGAATTAATGTGTAAAAAAATATGATCAATTATAACTTTCTAGTAGCTACACTTTGCCAAACCAACTAACTTACGTATACATAAAATAGCTAACCCTATTGGAATAAAACACATTTTAAAGTGAAATGTATGTTTGAAACATCTAAAATGTAGACTTTCCCAATTTAAATGTACATGAGTGCCACTGTATTGTGGCCTGAAATATCTGATTTTTTTCCTGCAAATTGAAMAATGCTCTGATAAAATATGTTAAATAATAATTATATAATGAATGTTGATGTTTGGTATAATCAGGTTTGCTATTTGGAGTATTTTAGAATTGTTTGTAGTTTTAGCCTAATAAATTATGTTTTTTTTTTAATTAGGTGGTGACGGCTCAGGTCTCTGAAACAGGACGCTACGTATGTGTGGCTAAAAATGTTGCTGGAAGTGCGGAAAAACATTTTAATCTTAATGTTCATGGTGAGTTATTAGAGATAGCCTATTTTTGAAGACTTAGAAAAGTTGTTTCTTTTTGTTGTTGTTGTTGTTGTTTGGTTTAATAAAGGAGTTCAAACCTGTATTTTTCTGCTTTCAAACAATAATGTAACTCTATCGAACATGGTTTCTTCTTGTCCTTCTAGTACCCCCGGCCATTGTTGGTGTGAGTCCTGAAAATGTGACCGTGGTGGTGAACAACTTTGTGTCTCTCTCATGTGAAGCCACTGGTTTCCCTCCTCCCACATTGAGCTGGCTGACCGTCAGGGGCCCCATCCAAGATAAAACTAATGCTCTTATTGTGCCAGGTAATGAGAGGAACTGTTCAAAAATTAAACATTTTAATACACACCATGAAAAAAAAAGACTAAGTTTGTGTCCATCTGTTTCCTCAGGAGGGCGCACTTTACAGATTCTTAAAGCAAAAGTATCTGACGGGGGGAAGTACAGCTGTGTGGCCATCAATGCAGCAGGAGAAGCCCATAAACACATTTATCTTACTGTGTTTGGTCAGTCTACATTTTTGCCTCCTGTAATTTGGAAGTTTTAATGCATGAATTAATAACTTTTTCTCCTCAACCGCGCAGTTCCTCCAAGAATTCGAGGCAATAGCAGGGACTCTGCCACGGAGGTGAATGTGCTTGTTGGTAAATCGGTAACTTTGGAGTGTGAATCCAACGCGGTCCCTCCTCCTGTCATCACCTGGTACAAGAACGGCAGAACAGTGACAGAATCTGCAAACCTGCGCGTTCAGGCAGAGGGGCAAATCCTTGAGATTAAACACTCAGAGGTGAAACTCCATGTTGTTTTTCAGTGATAACTAACATTTTTTCCTTTAACAGTCATAATAAATTTTCACAGCTTAAATATGTATTGCTTCTATTGTTTTTTGCTTTTGTTTTTCCCTGCAGGTATCTGATACAGGACAATATGTTTGCATGGCATCAAATGTTGCTGGACAAGTGAACAAGAACTTCCACTTGAACATCCATGGTAGCTTGTTTAACAAAATCTATACATTTTTAACAATACTAAAGCAGATATTTGAGATGGTGCTTGCACAGGCATAATGATAATAATAATAATAATAAAGAGATGTTTTCCCTCAGTTCCTCCCAGTATTGATGGCCCAGCAGAGGAGAGTGTTGTGGAAACCATCAGCAACCCAATTACTCTCTCGTGCGATGCTACTGGAATCCCTCCTCCCAACCTCATTTGGCTGAAAAATGGACACCCCATTGGTAGACTAAGATCAAAAAGGTCAGCGGCTGCCACTGCTGATGTATTTTACACAACAGTAACTTTATATTTCTCTTAGAGAACTCAGAGTCTTTGGAGATGCACATCTTCTCAGGAGGAACCAAACTACAGTTTGCGCTGCTGCAGCTTTCTGATAGTGGAACATACACATGTGTGGCATCGAACCGGGAGGGAGAAGCACACAAGAGCTACCACCTCACTATACAAGGTACATGAACATCTAAACCTCAGGTGTGTTAGCTCTATTCTATATATGTATTTGAAATAGAAAAATTATTATTTTCTCCTAGTCCCACCAAGTATCTCTGGATCAGACATGCCCACTGAGATGGGGGTTCTTGCTAACAAAAGCAGCCAAATGGTCTGTCGAGCTCAGGGAAGCCCAACTCCAACCATCCAGTGGTTAAAAGATGGAGAAGCCATCAACAGTGCAGGATTGAAAGGGCTCAGGTATATAAATACATCCATCCTGCAATGCAAGCAAGAAATGGAATCCATCAGTATGACAAAATCAGATATTTTAAGTTGAGCTTTATGAGTGATATATATATATA